TATGCGAGCCGAGCGCGCGCACTGACGGATTTAATCCACCACACTGAATTCTGAATTCAGAGATCACTTCGTGTTACTGTAATTGACTCCGGCATTCAGAATCAGATGCGCGTTTCCAAATCAAGTGCGTAATTTGGAAAATGATTGTCACGGTTAATTCGTTTTCCTGTTTTTGAAATAATTAGGATGAAGGAATTAAACGAACATTATTTGAACTGAATATATTGTTTAACTGTTGCATTTAGCTATATTTGTTTCCTATTATTAATGTAATAGTTTGTTACTAATTATTTAAATAAGGTACAATTTGTTAGTCTACATTATTTAAAAAAAGGAGATACAATTTGAAGAGAAGCGTATATTTACTTTTATTAATATATTAATAAAAGTAAATATATGTTTCTCTTCAAAGATATTAATAAATAAAAAAGACAAATAAATAAAAAAATTTTATATATTACACTTTTGGAGTTTTTATGTTACTTTTCGTAAAAGATCTATTGTCTTTTAGAGATAAATTTAATCAATAAATAATAATTTCAATTTATATATTTTTCAGCGTGATATAATTCACATGTAAAAATATTTGATGGAATCATTCAGCATTAAATTCTCAAAGAAGCATTTCTGAAGGTATATTTACCTTTTCTTTTTTTTAATTAAAGTTGAGTTTCTCGCTCGATCACAATCTATAGTGTCTTTTCGTTCGATTGCATCCTACGTTTAACAGCAATTGTTATTCTATGTATGACAAACAGTTGTTATTCTATCATGTCTTAACGTCGAGACAGGTAAAGAGATGTGACGTCGGGAATCACCTTGTCGTCTTTGTCACGTTACGATACGTCACCTTTCACGTGTCGCGTGGGTATCTCGCTCGAGTATGTACATCGATCGGCGTCCGACCGGCGCGCTCAAACGGCCGCTCGCATTGCGAGCGAGTAGCGGGATAATTAGTTGGAGTACGCCGCTTCTTTGTCTCGGCACGATTACGTGTCGACGTTGTCCCACCGCGACGTGCACACGTCGAGAATATCGAGGATCACTCCCGACTGTACCGGGGAACCCCCCGCGCTCCATTGACTTCGTTCGCCGAAGGACGCTTTATCTCCGGCCCACATACCCGGCACCTCTTCTGCCACGCGACCTCCATTCAGTCCGGCGTAAATACAAAGGGCGCCGGCACCCCCGAGCTCGATTGCACTCCCCCGAGAGAGGGAAAGAGAGATCGGCTGAGAAAAATCCCTTTGACACCTGCCACAAATCGATTTCACCGTCTCTTGAATAATTACACGGACGATAATAAAATTAGCATAACTGCAGCGATGAGAATTTCATAAAATTGGATCCGTCCTATTTTTATTTTGTTTAAAATAATATAATTTACTAAAAGAGATAAAAGATATATCTCTTAGAGATAGTTGATAGAAAGAGAGGAAGAAATAGAGAATAATGTGTGGCGCGATTTTTTTCTTCTTGCAAATGTTAAACTCGACAAACTTCGGATAAATATTGCGAGAAATATCGCGGGAAAATCAAGGTGGCGGAAATTACGGGCACTTCGCGAGGCAGTTGGTCAGATACAGGAGCCGCAAGGCCGTATATTTTTAACCTGAGAACCTTCCGGCAACCCTGCCGCGGGATCAATACCTACAACCACCCTCGTCTCGCTGTTATGTACTACTGCTGGAAATGGAGACCGCCATTAACTTTAACCTACATATCCGCCACCTCTGGCTGAGAGCCCACCGGTGGAAACTTGCTATCGAGTCAAGTATAGGAAGAGGCCGGGGGAGAAAAAAATGCAGGTACACGATGCAGATGCGCCGAGTAAAACCGCCCGCAAGAAACGAGCCGCGCGGCCACGAGTGCAACGAAATGTTTCTCGATAAGAAAGTTGGAAAACCTATTTCCGCTATCTTGCCCCGTCGAAATATCTCATTGCGATTCATGCACCGTTGCGCATAAAACGCAAATTACCTCCATCCCTGTAACATTTATATACTACTAAACGTAAGTCATATTTTCCATTAAATAATTATATTTGACTTATCTCAAGCTGGTAAAATATTGAAAGTATCTTTCAGTATTTCATGCATGATAAGTACTATGCACTTAAGTAATTGGCTGTAACTTATCTCCAGGGAGAAAAAATAATATTTGTTAAATTTCGAATAATTAAGTTCTTCTGAAAATGAATAATAATCGCAAAATGTATTATATTACATACAATTATATGCTTTAAGAATTAAAATCCATGTAAAAGGAAAAGATGGAAGAAGTCGGTAAAAGCAAGTATCACATCTCAATCAACCCTCGCATCTTTGGAAGGTCATTGGCCCGAAAGTCGTGAAAACTTTTTTTCAGTTTTCGTCTTTCTCTTCCTCTTTTTCTTCCTCCCTATCCCAGATCGAGCTCCATTTTCCCTCGCGATGTCATCGTCATAAAGGGTTGGAGGATAGAAGCCAAAAGAAGACGGGCAATCGAGTTCCGAGATTTTCAAGCTCGAGGTCGCCGGATATACCAGGCACTCGTGAAGGAGCTCTTGATAGACGCCAGAAAATCTCTATTTACGAGAAAAGAATGAAGAGAGAGAGAGAGAGAGAGAGAGAGAGAGAAAAGAAAAGAGTAAAGGAATGAGAGACATCGAGGAAAGAACACCTTTCGCTCTCGGTGCCATTCAGAGAAAGAGCGACTTCCGCAATTGCGGCGGCGGCTCGCGAATGGCGGGATAGTCGTCTGCGCAATCTCGTCGTTTCTAAGAGCAATCCCTTTTATCACCTCTTATCCCGTTTCTTCTTCTTCGTTTGCGTCACAGGACTGTTTGTGAACGTGGGTATTTTTTTATACGACCAACGCCGTATGACGCGCGCGTCGCTTTCGCGGCGTGCATAATTTACACGACGAACACTCGGCGACGCGCATAAACAGCCTCGAATATAAAAGAACGTGACGACGTTACGTCCGGTAAAAGAATAACGGAATTGCGAAAGCTTGATTCGGTGTCGTCAATGGCGAAAATGGGTGGCGAAAATGTATAAAACTTGATGGCCTACGTGAACCTTGTGTATTTGCTAATCTCTGTAAATCGGATCATAAAAAAACAAGTGTAGTTCAACAAATCAGTTTGTGTAACGAATTAACTTTAGAATCGATTTTTAATTAATTGCAATTATATGAAATTTCTTCGATCTTTATACAAGCATTCTTTAACTGGATCATTTTTCTCATAGCGTAACACAGATCGTAAAATAAATATTTTCCATTATTATTCCATTTCTCATTTACAATATGAATCTGAAATATCCACTGAATACGCATGTAATTTTAAACGGTTAAATCCACACACATGAGGATTGAGTTACGTACAATAATAAAGGAACTTAGCTCCTCGTTAAACTACTCTTTTTAGCGTAATACTTACACTTAGATCTAGTAAAGAATTAAAAGCAAGACCCAATATTAAAGAGTCACTGAGTGCTCATTGATCAATTTTCTTTGCTGAACGCAACCAATGAGAGTAATTCTCATAATCGGTCTTTTGTCGATAATCACGAGTCTTTAGAGGCATTATCCCTTATGGACATTTCTCGGTGTGAGGAAAATGGTAGGGAACGATTCGGCCGGCTCTGTTTCGATTCCCTGAGCGTGCGAGGTCGAGAAACAGTGGAGCGAGTAACCGGAAGCCGCGTTCCATTTCAATGCGCGAGTCTCACTCATGAAAGGATTGATAACGCTTGATTAAGAGCCGGGTAAGGCGAGCTCTTTTCTAGAATAGGCGAGCAAATGCCTACAACGCGATTTCGCATTTCTCTCTATGATATCCCCGTTAGGAACAACGAACACCTCGATCTTTGCACCTCGAGAGAAGGAGAGGAGCACGACCTATTGTCGGTCTCTGATAATGCGTACGAGCAAGCGCTGCTCCACGCGATAATATTCCCATTCGGCATTCGACAAACTTTGCCATTCATTTGCGAATCGGAGGACCGTAATTAAGATTTGCAGGAATAGAATAGATATTTCGAAATGCGTTTGCAATTGAATCAAAATTGTATGGAATTTGTCGACTATCACGTCGCTGTGATAGGAATGTCTACGAGAGAGTGCAGATATATCTTAAATTTTTATCAAAGTAAATCTACAGTTAAATAAAGAAGACTCTTGTAGAATCCTATTCAGAAATTTTATCTGAATGCACCCATCATTTTATCTTTTAACATTTGAGAAACAATAAGGATAAAATGCACCTTGAAATTTCTGAACGCAGCCTTGAAGATATACGACCAATATATAGTACATTTCTGATATAGTCTTTCTATTTGTGGATGTTACAGCTCTTCGGACACTCACGATTTGTGACTCACAAGACGGTAGTCTGTCTGCGCGCACTGAAAAATTGACCGTCGAGTCGTGGAGCGTCGACAGTATCCGACAGTTTCGTTAGCCAGGCGTATACCATCATCCAGAACAATCCCTCGCCCGTGGCAAGACGGCCAATCGTGCGGACGTCCTCGGTGTTATCCCAGCGCGGCCGCTACGTGCGACGACAACAGCCCAAAGATTCTCCCACCGAAGGCCAAGATGCACATCGAGGTGCAGGTGGCGCTTAACTTCGTGATATCATATCTCTACAATAAACTGCCGCGTAGACGAGTCAACATCTTCGGCGAAGAGCTCGAGAAGGCGCTCAAAGATAAGTTCAAAGGTCACTGGTATCCGGAGAAGCCGTTCAAGGGCTCGGCGTTCAGGTGCCTCAAAACCGGTGATCCGGTCGACCCGGTGCTAGAGCGCGCCGCGAAAGAGAGCGGTGTGCCAATCCAGGACATTCTGGAAAATCTACCAGCCGAGCTCGCCGTCTGGGTTGATCCTGGTGAGGTGAGCTACCGTATCGGCGAGTTGAACGCCGTGAAGATTCTTTACTCGGAGACCGGCGACCCGCATGACGAGACCTCGGCTGATCGCGAAGTCACCAAAACCTTCAATCCGGAGGCACAGTGCTTCAGGCCGATCGAAGCTGTAAGCACGTCCTTAAGCGGTCTCAGCCTCAGTCCGAAATCAACTTCGCCGTTTTCGAGCTCCCTCGGCAGCAATGCTAGCAATGGCTCGTCCAACAACCAGCAAAACGGCCACGGATCTGGTTCCTCGTCTGCGCCCTCACCCACACCCATCACCAGCTCCTTCAAGGGTTCGCCCAGCCCCGTACCGGCCTTCATCCCGCGTACCACCGCCCCGCTCACCTTTACCACCGCTACCTTCGCCCAGACTAAGTTCGGCAGCACCAAGCTCAAAACTAGCAGCAAACGCGCCAACAGGTTGGTATATTCCTTTGATGTTTCCTCCCACTTTGGATTAGTCAAATAGAATTCAATTTATGGCTTAAAATTTAAAAGGTTGAAACTTTAAAGTAATGATCGCTTGTCTCAACTTTTTTTTACCGTCGAAATAAAATTTATTTATTTGATGTTTAAAGACGGATAGTTTTGATATCGGTGGAAAAATTGATCATGAATATAAATAAATTAATAATTAATTTTCCCAATATGATTATCTTGTTTGTGAGTTTGTGCGACGAAGATTTTATAATAAAAATAATTATTTCTTTCCTGAATGATATAATTATTGCGAATGATATAAAGATTTGTAGTAGGAAATAAAGTTGAATTTTGCTACTCGAGGAATGTTAAAAGAACAACGTAACATGAGTACATGAGTTACACGTATTTTTTTTACGAATACATAGTACAAATTATACAATTTATTCAAAAATATTGCAAACAAGTTGTTTTTAAATTGATTGTTAACGTCTTTCGACATTACACTTCTCTTAAGTAGATAAGTTTCTTAAGTAGATAACACAATCTGTATGTGTATAATATATTCGTGGAATGCTGCTTGCAATTTTCCCAGGTATATCTTTACGTATTTATCACTAGAAACTAACATTACAATTCCCGCGGTATAAAAAAACAAATTGAACAGTGGGATCGCTATTAGATGGATAGTTGATCGCTTTGCAACCAGATAATCGTAGAAATAGCTAAGCATGCTTGAAATTAGAGAGTAACGAAACGTGCGATCTATCATAGAAGATCGTACATTGCCGATAGAATTTAATTATAGCGCGTTATTCCGTTTACGAAACATACACAAGCACGACAGAACAAAACGCGCGTACTAACCAGGCCGCGAGACGATCTATCACTCCCGGATCCACGCACACACGTGCATACACAGATCCATTGATGAACCGCACGGTACCGCTCGGTTTCAGGATGTCACCCACTGAGTTCTCGAACTATATAAAGCAGCGCGCAGCGATGCAGCAGCAGATTCACCATCATCATCATCATCAACAGCAACAGCAGCATCAGTCGCAGCAGCAGCAGCAGCAACAGCAACAGCAGCAGCAGCAGCAACAGCAACAGCAGCAGCAGCAGCAGCAGCAGCAGCAGCAGCAGCAGCAACAGGCGACCGCAGTTGGTGCAGGATTGCCGGTCTCTCAGAGTTCGCCGCGCAGTCGTAGCCTATCGCCTGGTAGCATAGTCGCCGGCGCTGGACAGCAACATACGGACCCGAGTGCGTACTTCTTCCAACATGGCCCAGCCGCGGCCGCGGCGGCGTATCACGCGCAGTTCCCTCATCGCAACATCTTCGACTCGTCGGCGAGCCACGGTGGTTACCTACCGGCCGATCTCTACGCCGGCACCAAATTCCCATCATCGTACCTTGACCCGACCACCTTGGCTGGCCATCAGTTCTATGGCGGCGGCATGAATGGCACTGGCGCTGGTACTGGCGGCGCTGTAAACGGCACCACCGGCGCTGGAGCCGGTACCCAGGGCGCCGGTAGCGCCGGCACTGGTAATCTTGGTCCAATTGGCTCTGCGACAACCAACGGCAACGTCAACGCTGGCGCGGCCGCCGCGGCGCAGCAGCAGGACAAGAGTGCCCTAGTCGAGGGCCTCAACAACTTCGGCCTCGGTTCGGTCGCACCTTATCCGGCCAGCCAATATCAGCACTTGCTTGTGGCCAACTAATACCTCGCGCGTGCACATCAAATCGTCAACAAAACCGCCACTACGTCCCGTGGCGGTAACAGCGTTTTCATTTTCGGTGCCGCTGGTCCGGTGACGGACAAAAAGGAGAGAAGGCCGTCGCCTCTAAGACTCCGTCATCGAGACGTTGTCCAGAGTCTGGCTTCTTAAAAACGGATGTCCATCAGCTGAGTTAGTATCACTCTATCTCTCCTCCTAATCAGAATACACTGATTATGGTTCACGATACCAACTTGTCCTTTCCCGCGATTCCTATTCAGATGCTTCTCAGAACGCTCTCTCGTTCCATCTTTCCTAATCCAAGAAGAATCCGAGATATTCTGTACATACATTATTGATAATTATCGATGAATGAAGGAGAGATAGAGAATAAGCAGAGAAAGAAAGAGAAAGGCAGTCGCCGAACGATCAGCACCGATGATGAAAGCGATCGAAATGAGGAAAGAAGCGATAAAATGGAAAGAAAGAAAGAAATGTGTATGCGTGTGGAGATGATGCCTGGTTCTGAGGTACGTCTGATTGCGAGATAACGTGTGCGTGCAGAAACGTTTTAGGCATGGAGGAGAGAAGAGAGGAGACGGAAGGAAGCGGCTAACGGCTAACGAGAGCGTGTATATGTGTTAAAACCCGATAAGGACTCGATTGGCGATGGCGCGAGACGCTCGTTCGAGACGGAAGCCATCGTGTGGCTACCTACGATACACACATACATACACAACACACATAACGCGCTCAAAGTATACGGCATGCATGTAGCGCACCGGCGGACATTCGAACGACGCGTCGAGCGCGCATCTAGGACAGTAAAGATATACTCGACACATAGGAATAACACACACACACACACACACACACACACATACACATATACACACACACACACCACATCACACAAATATACATATTATACCGATCTTCCCGTATATACATCTTCTCGTATAACATACAATACGAATCCACGCGAATACACGTAGACCTTTCACATACATAACATGCGAGCATTATCCATGCACGAGACACACGTATGTATTAACGAAACAAAAAAAAAGAAAAAGAGGAAAACCATATATACGCGACACTGACCCACACAGATATTACCAACGTGTAATAATTTATTTTTTCACTGGTATATAGTCGGAGAATTAAATAATGAATATATATCTCTGTAGAGCCTATGTATTATATTCAAGATGCACTCACTCTTCACCGGGTTCTCGCGAAACGGTAGGAACTACACACTTGTCCCCTAACTCGTGTCGAGCGAGCCGTCGATATCGAAAGATCCGTAGATTGATAAAAGATCGATAAGGTAAGGTGTCTTCCAAACTTTTTTTCTCCATCGATCGAGCGCCGACGACGAGGCGTCCCGCGGCGTCGTGTCGCTTCGTTTCGTTTTGTGCGAGATTCGTAGCCAGATATTACAGTCATTACAGACAACGCGGAAAGCTATTTAGGCACTAAATACGTAAAATATGAAGCTCTTTAAACGAGTTGAAAATCGGATCGCGGATAGCTTTCCCTGTACGGAGGACCTTTACATCGAATCAAGAGGTGGAAAGCAAAAAACCGGAGAATCTACGGAAGACGGCCCGTTCATTCACACGAGATGAATAAATAAAATGAGAAAAAACAATGCGATCAAGGAACGAAGAATCGATCCTTCCGCGAGTATAGTGATAATGTAGAGAAAAAGAGAAACGAGCTCGCAGTTTTATACCGTTCGGAAAACTCGTCCTCGGTACGATTTTACATTTTATTTTTATAATAAATGTAGTAGAATGTAGGAGAAAAAGAGAGCGAGAGAGAAAGTGAGAAAGAGAGAGTGAGAAAGGGAGAGAGAGTGCAGCGAATGATGTGCAAGGAAAGGAAGAGGAGAAGTAGAAGACAAGATAGAAAAAGAGCCAGCCGGTGTGTTCGCGAAGAACGTAAGTGATCTCGTTGCACAGGCCCCTCGATATTTGCTCGGCCTGCAGGCTGCGCCTGCAAGTTGGTCCCCGCCCGCCCGTCCGCTGCAGAAAAACCATCGGGAATCGATTTCCTTTCGAGATATTGCCTTTCGATTTGACATCCGGAGTCGATGACCCTCCGAGCTGTCGAGGGAACCTCTTCGAATCGTTAAACCTCGGCAATGCGCTTCCTCGCCGCTATGTGTTTAAACTTTGAACCCGGAAATTCTTTCTAATTATTTTCCGATTGTCGCAGGCATTGTTCGCGAATCATTTATAAACAAGTATAAGTCTAACCAATTGATAAGATCTTCGTCGATTAATTAAGATAGATTACGTTGAATGTGAGAACACTGACTTAGAATAATTAAAGACTTAACGAGAAATTTGTAGCGTAATCAATCCCTTAGTATCTTTTTTTCAATCAAGCAGAATCATCCGCAGAGTTTTACGATGTTAAGAAAAAGAGACTAGTACAAAGATAATGAGAGTTAATCAGAAGCAGGATGAACGGCGGGCGGGATAGTTCCGGGGTAGCAACGTCGTCGCTTAGCGTTCACGAGGTTAATTAGGTGATTACGTAATTAAAAGGTCGTGCGTTATTGTCCTTGTCGGCGAGGCGATTCGTCCGGTTGCAAAAATCAATCTTAATTTCAATGATTAAAATAATTAAATTTTTACGCACCTATATCTTATCTTCCGGAGTTTAAAACGAATATACTTTAATAATTTTCTATATAAGAGACTTGCTTTTACGATTTAACTTTAGTCGTTATGATCGACCTAAACTGTAGGGTGTCCATCATAAAACGCAAGCTTCGCTTCGTAATGCTACGCTACTATAAACTTTTAGTATAAAGCGAATATTATCGAGATAACACTTTACAACGAAAATTCCACTTTTGTCAGTCAGAACTGTCTTCCTTTCTTAAAAATTGCCTACAAAAGAAGATGATTATGAGTCGCGTTTTAAAATGAACATGCTCCGTATATTCCATCTGTATCACAGCCTTAAGATCATTCTGATTAGTCTTTAATATTAGCCACGCGCGAATATTGTTCCGGCTTCCTGTACTTAAATTAATTCGATAATATGACTAATTTCCGAGATAATAATTACATCAATCCTCGAGAATAATGTTTGTTCGAGGCACGAAATTTGATACTGAAAATTTCACTAAATTTTAAATTAACTGTTATTATCTCGCGATAAATCTTCCATCTTATCGATAGAAACCTGTATTTGATCTCCGCAAATTGAACGTGCAGTCGAGCCTCGCCGACGAGTATTAGAGGCTCCGCACAATAAAAGGAACAGGAAACAGAGAACAGAGAATAAGAATTTCAACTTATCATGTATGTGGAATACACAGTTTCTGATAGGTTGAAATTCTTATTCCCTGTTCTTTTTATTGTGCGGAGTCCCTTACACGTAACAGTAATGGCGGCGGAGGTGCCGCGAGCTGCGGGCCGCGGGCACTAGGTGCTAAAAGTATTCAAAAGTGTTATTCCTGTGGCCATGGGACAAAATGCAAGGATACAGACCCGAGGAATTCGGAGACCATACCGGCGTTGATCCGCTTTGCCGATCAACCGCGTCTGCTCGTCCTATCCTTAGACACTAATTTCTACGATTTCCTCGTAGTGCGTCAATATAACCGTGTAAATGTCTGGCGCGTAATTTCTAAGTATGTATGTTTAGTCGTTCTTTCTTACGGACTTTTGTATAGGCCTTTTTGTAAACTATCCTCGCACGCGGTTGGGGCTGTCGAAGTGGATCGATGCTGGACGAACCTTCCCTGAACGCGTCCGAATCGAAGGATTCGGTGCGAAGATGAAGCGAGTTCGCGATTTGTGCGTGTGATCCGCTTTAAATCTGAGATCATACCTAAAAATAAATATTGTAAATAACGAATTTGCATCTTACTTGTGCGCCGAAACTTTCGATCTCGTTAATCGTACATTTCAGGAAGCTAAAGAATCATTTTTTATATCTCGGTCCAAAGAGAAATTGTAGCTGGAAATTTAGTCAAGTTGTGTCGGCTCGAACACTCAGGGTTTGGTCGACGGAATAATGGTCTCCGAACGGGTCGAGGGGGTGCGAAACAAGTTTTAACTGTGGAACTAACTACTAAAGTAGACGTTCAGAAGATGCTGATGAAGAACAGAACCCTTTAGTAATATCTAAACTTAATTGTAACTATTATAACGATACGTACGACTGTGGTAGCTATGCTAGTACCTGCTATTGTTAAAGAGAAAATGATGATGAAGAAGTAGACCGAAAGAACGGAAGGGATGCGGCTAGAAAAATCGAACTACAGCATAGTGCCTCAGTGCGTGTAAACATTTGCTCACACGATTTAGTTTCTACGATTTTCTCTTTATCATTTGTAGTCGCAAATGTCTCCATTTAATCCTCTAGGAGCGAGTATTGCATATTTGTGTTAATATTTATTTTAAAATGGAATTCGGGATCTACATAGATTAGCTTACATTTAAGGATGTTTTGATTGTACAATATGAGTTAAAAATATCAGTCAAAAAAGCCAATATCAATCAAAAAATTTTATCGTAAATTCGTCCTAAAATCAACTATAAAAAATAAAACAACAAATTATTTGATTTTTAATGGCTTATGCAGTGCAATTACGATATTTTGCTGCAGTTTTAGATAAATAATTTTTAAATGAGTACATGGAGTCCAAATAGCTTGCATGAATATTTATTAAAATTTTATTAGCATATATAAAAAATTTAATTTAATTTGTAATACTTCCTTATCACAGTTAAATAACACGATTTTACATAAACATTAAGACAAATAAAAAATGATAATTTTTAAAAGATATGTGTCACAACTTTTAAGTTGAGATATACATCCTTAAAAACTGAAGATGCAAATATATATACCATTAAATATATATACCACTAAAGTTAAAACTTCTAATCGACAAGGCTATGATATACATATATATATATATATATATATATATATATATATATATCAAACAT